GAATCAGAAAACGAGTTAATTATACTGGTTCAACAAAATACCACCTGCTCGATGAGAGTGATAACTCTGGTTATGACAGATAACAGGAATCTTGCAAAGAATCTGACCGAATATCGAATACAAAATAATGAAAAAAAACATATATTACTCAAAAATCAATAGTTTCCACCAACAAACATCAGAGATTAGCAGATCTTCAGCACTTTTCCTTATAAACCTGTATCCGCCTGTAAAACAGCTCTCGCTGTATGTACTTGGATACTCTTGCTTTCAAATAAAAATCAATTTCCTTTGAAATAATTAGTGGTTTTGTCATTTTCAGTAACATTAATTTACTTACAAAGTTTAACATAGCATTCACTGAATAACAGCAAGTTGCTAGAGTAAATAATGTTTTTCATTTACTAGACAAAATATAGAAGCAGATTGACAACTGCAAAGGATCAGTATGTAACAAATTAAGACTATACAGGGGGTATCAAAAGTGGGCGTCAAATTATAATAGTTACCAGAAAAATATAAAAAAGCTAAGTCGTATACATGAAATTGTATGTATAAGATCGCCCTAACCATCTGTTCGGGTATTCTGCCTCAAGATATTCTCTAACTGAACGGTCATAGTGCACCGGGCAGCCGTCTTGCTGATACCACATGTCTCAATGCTTATTGGTACGTCTCCCAATAAATTTGTGAAATGGTTTTGTGAGAAATCTAAATAAATTTCGCCATTCAAGAACTCTGGCATCTCAAAGGGTGATTCTCCCCTTTAGAATACCGGTCCACATATTTATTTTGAAACGATGTAGTGATCTATCTTGCCTCTTCAAATGTGGATTTTCTATATGCCAATCGCGTAAGTTGTATAGATTCATGTAACCATCTTTTTCAAATGTCGATTCATCAGTCCATAAAATGTTCTCTAAATATCGCGGATCTTCCCGGTGTCTCTGTAACATTGACAAAACTCAACTCTTGGAAGACAATCCAGGAGTTGTAGGGATTGTACTTGCTGTACGTAGTACGGGTGGAGCTCGTTCTTTAAAGGTTTGGTGCGCTGTACTTTTGGGCACTCCCGAGCTTGCTTCTATTTCACGTAATGAAGTGCTAGTGTCCTTTTCGACTGCTTGATTCCTTCACCATGTGCTCGATTTGGGAATGGTCCCTCTGAGAGTAAACGGTGCACATTCACAAAAACTTGGTGATTGGGATGACAAGCGGCACCTATCACGATACAGCCTAGCAGTAGCATTGCATCTACATTACCTATAAATTAGGCGTATTCCTGTATACAATCATGAATTAATAAAATTCGCGTCACTATATGTAGTTGTAGTCACCGTCCTTGGCGGGTCACAGTAAGACTACCAGTATCGTTTTATATATCTCTATCTCCCACATACATACACATGCAACCTACCAGTGTGTGTGTGAATGTTTGTTCGGTTAGCTTAAAGACATACTTTTTTTAGTTTTTTAGTTCTGTGTCTCCGTCTCTAAAACTTTGTCGTTACGTATGAGTGCCCTTCAATCATATTTGTCAGAGTGACAGCTTACTTGCCATTGGCGTTCAAGTCGTGTTGTCCTGCTATCAATCTTCAATATAAAATTGTACAATGCCCGGAAATACGATCAAGGGAGAAGGCCGACAGCTTTATTAGAGTATTTCCAGGAAGAGAAAGAAAACAGCGGTCCCCTGTTATCCACTTCATGGGCACTGGAGAGAGTAGCAGATGCGCTAAAGATTAGCGCAGTGTCCGCCCATGGTACGGGGACTCGATCTCTTTACTTATTTCATATGGTGTCGATGACGTTACCGCCAAGAACGATGACTACAACTATATCTGTCTTGCTGTAAGCACACATAATTGAAAAACCACAAAAATTGAAATTTGGAGTAATGGGAACTAAAAGATTATCAGATGGTGTAGATTTTTTAATGCCTATAATTTGTCAAGTAGTCGACTTAGATTTTTTATCGTTTCTAATAACTACGCTGACTTGTCCTATCCCCCGTTTCCGGCTCGTCGTCGACTTCTGGGACACCCGGTATCATCTACCTTACCGGTTTTACTTATTTCGCTCCTGTGGGCATGCTTGTACATAAACTAGCTTTTGACACGAATTTTCATAATGCGTCGTAGATATTTGAGATCTATCGAGTTGGATAATATCGCCCGTACCGACACCATTATTAGAACAAAAAGAATCACCAGTAAAATAAAAACAAAAGAGGACGTTCTGTCGGACTTTTGTTCTTACCGGTGTACCCTTCCCAGGCAGGCAGGAGGCATTTTTATCGTGGCGATGATTAGAATGACGTCTGTACAAGCTGCTGCTGCTTGCTTCTACCGCAGGCCTTCTGCTGTTCCTCTCACCAACTTCTGTGGGTGTATTGTTCATTGTTCTTTTGTTCGTTGCCGGCGAAAACAATCGCTAAGAAAACCCGAACCGTACCTGCACGTTATAATCCTACCTTTGTTGGGGGATTTTCGTGGAAATACCACTGAGGCGGAGTTTGGATGAGGGTGAAATATGGGGAAGGAGTATTCAGATAGAGCTGTGGTTTGGACTAAACTGGAAATACACATTCCAGGATAGTTACAGCTCTAACATGGTAGAATTAGTTTTATATTAAGAAAGGGCGTCAAGTAGATCAATTCAGTGCTTGCCCCGCTCTTTTTTTCAGTTAATTAAAATCACTTTTTAATTTTAAGCTAAAGTTATTTCTCTCAATTGAGGCAATGGATGATTAAAAAAAAATTTGGGGGTTACTGAGGCTAAAGCCGTGGTTTAGCGTTGGCAAATTAGGCCCTATACTCAGGTACACCGGAGAGTAGGGGGGGTATTTTTAAGGGGCGCCACCAGCTTTTATCCGCCAAAACTGGAAGACGCCTTGGTGTTGAAAGGCACTCTTTAGCCCAAAACCCCAAAAAACAAAAATACATACAAACAATAGATTTTCTGTGTGGGTAAATAATTGCTAAAATTAACATCAATACATTTTATTACATCTACTAACGGCTAACAACAAAAATTTAAGCCAGCCAAACTAGGAGATCTCCCTTAATGCGAAAGCTTATTGACTAACTATACTAAGTGACATATAAATCCGAACACCCAGTTTAAATGGTTTTATTTTAATAACAGTTGGTGAATGTATTTATCTTACTGTAAATAACAAGTGAAAAACTATTCAGCCTTATCAGTTGGACATTCCGGTTTTTATACTGCTTCTTTTTAATTCACTAACGCTCTAAAAATGAATATTTCAGCCGCAGTAAAGAATCAACGTTGGCGGATTTTGGTTCTTGACATCCTTTACGATCGGTTACGATGCCTAGAGTACGGAGACCTGTACGATTTCGTCAAATTAGTGAGTTTGATAGGGGCCGTATAGTGGGACTTCGGGAAGCTGGACTTTATTTTCGGGCAATTGCAGTTAGAGTGCAAAGAAGTGTAGACACTGTGGTTAGGTGTTGTCAGGCATGACTTCGAGAAGGCCGTACGCAAAGAGCAAGGGGCACTGGACGCCGCCGTAGAACAACAGACCGTGAAGATCGCCGCCTAAGATTATTGGCCTTAAGGGACTGTTTCTCCACTACCAGGTCCATTGCAAATGAATGGTTTGCAGAACACGGAAGACCTATTGGCATGCGAAGTGTTTACCGACGAATGAGAAGTTTTGGCTTGTTTTCATACCGGCCACACTGGGTCCTCCCTTTAACTCGAGAGCACCGACGTAATCGCCTTGAGTGGTGCAGACAATGGTCACTCTGGGATCATGAATGGAACAGTATTGTCTTTAGTGACGAGTCTTGATTTTGTTTAGGCATGCACGATGGTCGTACCAGGGTTAGAAGGCGACGTGGTGAAAGGAGGAATCCACAGTTTTTTGTTGAAAGACATGTTCATCACACTGTTGGAGTTATGGTTTGGGTTGCTATAGCTTATGGTTCCAGGTCACCTTTAATCTTCATCAGAGGTAACATGAACGCGCAGCGTTATATCCACGAAGTTCTAGAACCCCATATTTTACCCTATCTTGACACCCTGGCAGATCCAACTTTCCAACAATATAATGCCCGACCACATGTAATGCAAGAGTCACGATAGACTTCTTTCAACATAATGATGTCACATTGTTACCATGGCCACCAAGATCTCCCGACTTATCCCCAATTAAGCAACGTGTGGGATATGATGGGTAGGAGATTGCTCAATTTGCAACGTCCTCCTCAGACTCTAGAAGCACTTCGAGAGGAGTTGGTGGTTGCCTGGAATAAGATACCACAGGAGGACATTGACCACCTGATCAGAAGCATGCCTAGGCGCGTTGGAGAATGCGTAGCACATCAGGGTGCATTCACACATTATTAAAGGTCAAAGGGCTTTAAAGCAGTGCAATCATTTTTAAATATTTATCATTTACTTATTATGATTCATTAAGTATTTATACAAAATTTTATTAAAATAAAACAATTTAAACTGGGTGTTCGGATTTATATGTCTCTTAGTATAATTTAAAACGGGCGAGGAAGGCTTCAAAATCGATGACGTAAGAATCCCTATGGTGGAAACAGGGTCTCTGTTCGGAAAGAGGTCCCCGGTAGAAAGCGTGTCAATGGATCTCCAGTAGCGAAGATTCCCCAAAATAAAAGCCCTAGGAAGAATAATAGTATTCAGGCGATCGAATGTAACAGTATAAAAAAAATACAAATTTAGGTAACAACAATTAACGTAATGGGAAAGGTAATCTTCAAATATTGAATATTAATTATACGAGAAGGAAAAAAAAAGTAGCGAATAGAAATTAAATAGTTTAGATAATTCAATTATGATTTTTGACCACCCGGTATAACAGATTTAAAATTACACTTTGAGTTACTCGTAAAATACCATAACACCAACGCATGCTCCACAGAATACTAAGTTAACTCCATGTTAGAACAAGAATAATTATTTACTTTTGAGAAAACTCATATATATGAGAAATATGGTCTTTTGCCTAAATTTTCATTTACTTAAAATAAAATAATGCTCACTTAGATGATGTCGGGTAGGATTTTTGACGTGGTTTCGAGGCGAAAATTTCGAGATTGAATTGATTTCTTGAAGATGGAAGATCCAGCATGGGATGGAAGCAACCGAGTTATTTATGAAAATATGTGGAGATGAATACTAAAATTATTACTCATGGTGAACCAGGGAAATTACTAGGCAACACAAGAAGAAATTGTCCATATCAGGGTGAGTAAATTCTTCAATTAATTACCTGAATGCATGAAAAATTGACTACACATTTATAAACTTAGTGGTAGAAACTGTAAAGATGATCAAAATGGAGTGCGATTGCTGTACGTTAAATTTAATAATTGAAATTTTTGGATTATAAAATAGATCAGGATGGATTATGTTTAATTGATTGAGAAATATTTGGTTTCAGTTTCCAAATTGTTCAGTGACATGGAAGATGCTGACTACGATATACAGGCAGCCAAACGACTACAGAGGAAAAACAACGGGTACAAAATAAAAATTACAGTTATTCCATGGTATTCATGTGTTTGTTATGTTTGTTATTTCAAATAAACATGATAATAGGTAAATGTCTGCGTATTATTTATTTTGGTTATGAATTACGTGAGAAAAATATAGCTAAATACACCGTTAAAAACAAGCCCTATCTTGGGAAATGGCCAATGGGCCGGTCTAGCCATTTTTGTCAATAAAATTGATTTAACAATATGCTATGAATAAAAATAATATGCTACGGAGATTATTAGATTAGATTATCGGCTTTTGTTTCTTCCTTCTCAAGTTCTTGCTGCATTACTTCAAATTAAACCTGTGCGACAACAACAACAACAACAAAAAAATATGATTCATCGGCAATAAGAGGCAACTGTTACATGCTCTCTGCACACTGATTTAAATTTTAACAATAGAAATGCCTGGTGGCAAGTTTCTGATTACCTAAATTGCCCATACAGTGAGAAACGTTCAAGAAAGTTTGAGATTATTTTCAAATATTTTTGTCAAAAATTACCATAAGCCCGAAAAAACAAAAGGATAGAGCCGTTCTAAAAACTTTTGTTATTCGCTTACAACACCGTCACTGCTGGACCGATCTGCGAAAATCACAAAGCGTTTTCATCTTTGTTGAGGCTGTAATCACGAGTCACCATTTCATAGGAATCCAAGAGATACTTTCCGATAGATATAAGACTAGCCCAAAATCCAAGGCTTTGAGAAAGTAGTGTGAAGAAAAAAATGCAAGATTTCTTGTGAAGCCAAAGCTAATACTTGGTACTGTAGTTTGATCGTGTTGGTGTCATCATCACCATCTGGCACACATTTGAGAGTCAAATCATCGTGTTGCTTGTGTTAATAGGCGCTATAAAAATCATCAGTAAAAGACATTTTCTCCATTCTGAATGCCAAAGTACATTATCCATATGTATATAATTTGATTTGTTTATAACTAGCCCCCGTGGAAGTAGTATACAGTATAATTCGTCATTCGTTTTGCATTAGTGTTGAGATATTAAATATTTAAAGTACTGCAAGTTACTTTGACAATGGATATCTTTGTTCAAAATTTTGATGCAACAACAAATTAACACAAATAGGTAGTCAGAATCACAATAAATCAAACGTGAAGTATTTCACAGCCTGTGTGGCATATCATTTCACCATCCATTAACTATTTATTCTTACTTGAAGGAACACAAAACACAAAACAACCAAAAATGGAAAGACCACGAATGTGGAATTGCAGAAAATGCACGATGCAAATGCTCTGTTCATATATCCTTACTCATTTCCAGCGGACTAGCGACTGAGCGCTTCCACACCTGACACATCTAAAATTCCACTTAGCTGTTTGGATTGTAGCCCGTGAAGTAGATACTTCATTGTTATTTCCAGTTATAAAAGATATTTTATGTGCTATTCCAGACTACAATCCATCTCTTGTTCCAAATTTCATAAGATCCGTTCAGCCATTTTGCGTGGAAATAACAACACTGGCGAGGTGTTATTCACGTAGCGGCACTTTAGAAGCAAACAATTTTATTTGTTGAAAACTTGTATCATATGTTGTTTCCACATCATCATATCTTTTCTACCGAACTAAAGGCTTGTTACTTTGTGACACGCTTATTCTGTCATTATTCAATGACTGTGAGCTTATCAACAAGGTATGATGTTGATCGTGTATAGCTAGTCCAAAAGTCTTGTCTTAGGATTATTTTTGGAGCAAAAAAATGAACCTATTTCTTATAAGTTACTTGTAATAGGATGGCTAAATGTGGAAGCACTCTGCTGTTTTGTTCATAAAATTATTCTGTATAAAACTCCGCCTTATTTATGCGGAGATTGTCTTGTGGGCATCCTTTCGTCAACTTTCAGATTCTGGGATATTAGACCCCCAAACACCAGTTTATGGAGTAGAACCCCTTTCATTTGGTACCTTACGCTTAGTGTCTAGGTTTTGGTGCTACCCCGTCCATTTTCTAATGAGATTTCAACCTTCAGCGTGGGAAGGCATTGCAGAGAACCACCATTCACACTCCTCCAGTTTTGTTTTGTATCTGCCTTGTCGTTGTTTTGCAGCTGATATTGCTGGAAGCCACCCATTCCCCTTGAGCAAAACCCATTTCTTGCTCTTGTCTTTTGCATTTATTACCGGCTGTGCATTCGGTATTGTATAGAATACATAGTATAAGTATAAAACAAATAATATTTTACACATTACCTACACGTTTTAGGTATTCTATACATTACCTAGGCATTGTATAGAATATCGGATTGTTCAAATTGCCGGTAACATATACATATATATATTTTTTTGACGCTTGTAATTATTATTTTTAATATTATCTTATATAATTTAGTTAAGAACTACTGTGTTGTAATTTTGTTTGTTGGGCTGGTACTTTGATCAGCTTGTCTGTTTACGAGTCTTTTTTGCAGGGAATTGTTGTTTCTTCTTTTTTATTAAACGGTATTATTATTATATAACAACTCTCCCAGCCCAAGCAAGAAAGTCTTAGTGTACAAAAATGGATACACCAGCAAGAAATCTTTGTAGTGTCTCAAATTTTCAGTTTCGAACCCACAAAAATTCTGGTATAACCAAAACGATTTGGTGACCTGAGCATGTTGAACTTGCGTGCAACCGTCGCTCTAAATTTGAAATTTATATCATCTCGTGATTGTGGTACATAACCTTTAACTTTCCATCCCGTCCGATTGTCGGCGGCTATAAACATCGCAAAACGTTACCTTCATGTAACGCGGCAAAATAGGCTAGTTGTTTAAGGCAGACTTTTGTACATTCAAATAGAAGGAGATACAGACATGTTATATCTTTGAACTTGGAAACTTAAAATCGAGACAGCGGATCACCGTAATTTGGTTTAGATGCAGATAAAAATTGCACCCAGAAACAAGGCACCAACATAGAAGTCAACAACTTGGCTGTAACCAGCAGAAAGAGGTTTATACATGAATACGACATTAACTGTCCAAAATTTGGTACTTTGGCTGTAGATCTATTAGTTATTCAAATTTAGATCTATTTGCTTTTGGACTCTGCGGCCTTGACCAACCTTATACGGTGCCGTTGCATGCCGTTAGCGACCATTATTATGGTATAGCCTTCTTTTGGAACATTCATTCAATCTAGGTATCAAAAAGCTCCTTAAGAAATTTGAAAGGTGATGACTTCTGCCATCTAGTGAATCATTCCTGATATTCCGATATCTACGCCCAGGGTGTAAACCGCTGGACAAAATTTGTATACCAGAGATCCCTTTTTCGATGAAATCCCAGGACATCCTTGAAAATTTGCTAACTTCCTTGGAAATCCCTGGACATGCAGGCAGCAGCGGTGGCCGCAGTAGTAGACTCTTCGGTCTCCTGATCAGTCGCCGTGCGCTGTGCGGGTTCGAGTCCCGTCCCAGGAGAAATTTTTATCTTGGCTATGGATGTTGTGATTGTCCGTAGGTGGTAGATGGTCTCTGACTGTCGAACGTGGAGGTACCACCCGGCGGATCTCGTAGGCGGAGCCAGAATGTGTGCATGTTGCATGCACACGTGTTCCCTCGCCAGAATCCGTGTGGCGTCCCCCTTTCCCCTGTATCCCCCTATAGCCCCACGGTGCCTAATGGGTGTTTAGGCCTTAGGCCTTCGTGGTAGTTGGAGTATAAAAAAAAACATCCCAGAATATCTGTGTACAACCTTGGAAATCCCTGGACGTTCCTTGCAGTGCGATGGTACCTATCAAGGATATCTGTGGTTAGTTTACAGACATGATACATTCAGGCATGAGATTATTGATATTGTTGCAAGTTTGCATTATTCCAATTACACTTCAGTCGGGTCACTACCTCTCTAGCACAAGTCTTAATCGCTATACTTAAGGTCGACCATTAAAATCGACCTATCGTTGTCGTAATGCATAAATAACGTAGGTAATCTGATTTTGCTATATCTATCGAATTGTTTATTTGCCGCGATGAATATTTTTTAACCAAAAATTATGTAGCTCTGGGAATAATACATTTATTTGGAAGTAATCACAGAACAATGGGATCAGAATGAAAACAGTATTTCTTAAAAATAAGTATGTGAACATACAATCGCTTGGTTGAACAAAGATCGTTAAAGTTAAGATTTCAATCGAAGGTACTTATTTCGAATAGTATTGAAGTCATTTTGACTCAAGTGATAAATAACATAATCTGGTAATCTGTTCGACGACGACGATCTGGAAGGCGGCTCAGTTACTGATAAAGTCAGGGGACCTAGGCATATAGATTGCTGTGGACAGTTGCGGCGTCAGTGGTGTTTGGCCAGAAGAATTTGTTCCTCTTCTGACTTGTTTTAAAAATGTTATGCGAAAGTCACAGTCGCTAATCCTTTATATACCCCCTAAAACTGGCCAAGCCTGAGAGGAATACTTTGAGGTTGAGGTGATGCGGCGGTTATTGTGGAAGAGGGTAGCTGTTCTATAGTCTCTTCACCAACAACTGTGTTTTATTCTAGTTCTTTATCTTGTTCTGTGTTGAGCTCATCATTATCTTTAAAATCCATATCGCCAGCTGACTCACCATCAGCGCTGTCGTCGTAAGATATTCCTTCCTCAGTACTATTGGATGATGAACATCCTGATACATCAGTCTCGCTGTAGCTGGAAACTTGATTAAGTCTTACCCTTTTTGTTTTCATTCCTTTAGCGAGCTTAGGTGGCTCATATTGTCCTCAACTTCTTTGTGACTCACTTTTGCAGATGCAACTGGACGTGTTATAAACCTTCGTAGTAAATCAGAGGTAACCCTTTCATGGCAGTTGTCAAGTAACCAACACAATGTCGACTTGTCTACAAAGTCTTCAGTGTCACATTTCGAGAAGTCTTTGAGAATTAAGCCATCACGAACTTCTAGAAGCGAAATAATGGATGAATGTTGGGGTAATATTGAGCTGAAACTTTCCACTCTACTAATATTATCTGTATTTAATGGCAATTCTTTGAGCATTCTTATTGTTTTGGTGTTAATGTCCTGACTGCAGGTTTTATTATAACCTAGCTTCTCATACGTTGCTGTTTCAGACAAAACAACTTGTATTTCATCAGTATCTACCTCTTGTCCAGCTCCTGCCTCGTCCAAATGTTCACAATTCTCAACATTTTTTGATACGCAAAGCAAGGGCAAGCGATTTCAGCTCCTTAGCTCAACTTCCATTCTCAAATCTCTTGCATCAAGTCAATGTCTTCATTGGTAAACTGATTCAAATTCCAGTCTATGGTACTACTTTGGATATTGCCTTTGATTCCTCGGTGAGACCCATTTCGACTCGCACTATTCTTAAGTTCTCCAATGATTAAAAAGGTAAATGACAGTGATCTTTGCCTAGAGGTATAATGACTCCTGATCCTTTTTCTAAGCTTGTTGTTGGTTGTGGTTTCTCTGGCAGCTTCTCTCTAAAGTATTTTGATATTGTATATAGACGTCTCCTATGTTCTGATACAAACCGAAACTTTGTAGGATGCAAGTAGAATATGCCAAAAAAGTCCTCCCGTTCATCCTCGGAAATCACGAAAGGCATTTCTTCTCTAGTAAACTTTTCAATTTCCACTATATCTTCGTCCGACAGCTCAGCTAATAATCGGTTGTCATCAAATCCATTCATTTTCAAAACGCTTTTTATAGACTCTGGAATGGTTATTTTTAGCCCGCATTCTAGTTCGTCGAAGCAATCTATTTTACATTCCATTTTATTCTGATATGCACGCAGCAAAGCATATCAAGTTGACGTCTAGTGAGGCGCACTAAAAGTGAGGTTATGTATAAATCGGCAACCACAGTCACATTTCTTATTGAAACTGTGGTACGTCCTGGATATCTCTTGAACACCCTCGGACATCCTTGGACATCCCAGGAAATACCAGGACATCCCCAAATATCCAGGGACATCTCAAGACATCCAAGGGTTTATACACCAGACATCCCCAGCGGTTTACCCCCTGAGTACGTCCTAGATGCACATACCTTAAAAATAGTTTCGCAGATGTTCAATTCGTTTTCGTAATGGTTCTTAACTAACTGGGCTATTGCCTTTATATGACACACGACGAGGTACATTAAGAAGATATACAGGCATTATCTAAACCCAATTTAGTCGAAACAAAATTCGTCATAAATCGCTGGTTTTTTATTTTCGCTCCAAAATTATACTCATAAAAGTCGTGCACCGAAAGTCACGCGATTTCGGTATTACCGTGTCTTCTTTCACTGAAGCTGCTGCTACCTTCAGAATTACGGGATCCATTACATAAATCGACTTTTGTTAGGAAATTTAAGGACATCCATTAACGTTTTTGGGGTACAATACACACAGGTCCCCTTGACTTACGTCTCAAAATTACGAATACGGTCTAATCACGATTAAGTATCATAAGTTGTATGAACCTGTATAAATGGCAACTCTGGCTCGATTTTGCTCGTCCGGCGGTGTGTGAAATGGTTTGCTAGCTGGCAGCCTGATCTGTTCTGAGATTGTCGGTATTTTTGAATCTATGAGCCAACAAAGTGTAATCTACGTAGCTTCTAGTTCTCAGAATATAATTTATCGCGATATCGCCCAAAATATCTGCCTCTTAGAGTGTTTGCTTTAAATTTACCCCTATTCATAAATATTTAGTCTACAGCATGAGCGTACTTATACGCCCATCATTTCAAATATGCAGACATAAAAAGTAGTACCTCCATCCTCTTAGCCCCTATACATCATTATAACGAGGCAGAAATAATAAACCATGAAAGTTCACATACACCACAACCTTTTGTCTCGAAGTGGCTTAAGATGTAACACGGAGTCACATGTGGAACACAGCCAAGACGCTCCATTTCACTATTAAGCACGATAATTTATTTGGTTTAGGGGGATTAAAAAGCGATAAATTCATCTGTGTGAGCATGTGTATACACAATTAAGAGATCAAGATGCCGCCGGGTAAACAAATACTTTGTTCTTGTTCGCGGTGTCCGTCAGTAGTGGAAGCAGCAGAGAGCGAAAAGGTATCATAGCCCTGACAATTTGATGTAATAATAGGAGAAATGCGGTCGGTCACTTGAGAAATTGGACGCGATCGCATAAGTATCTACAAGAAATTGAGGAACATCTATGCCCGGACCTTGGAGCAATCTCAAGTGCCTTCTCAACTATTTAGTAAGTCCTGAAATGTATCATGTGGTTTTTGTGTCAAGCCGCATATGGTTTTATTTCTGTTTATATTTCGACGTACCGGCCACCACAGTGGCCTTTTTCAAGTACAATGACATATACTGAAAGTACGTTCGGAGAGAAACGGGAAAAACCGAATTTTTTCAACATCGTTAGTTTTTTCCTTATTTGTTCTGGGATTACAAAATAATTACACATTAACATTGCCACATTTTTACCCCTTCAAGATGGCATAGTTAGAATTTCGACACGACTCGACTCTTGTCCTCAAGCATCAACTTTATTTTTTCTCATAAACGCCATTTTGGATTTTTGCACAGGTGGATAGAGTTTTTAATTCTGATTCGAAAAATGTATATGTCATATACAGCCAAACCTTAGTTATTTCAAAAAAGGAATTTCCTAGGTAGGCCTTGAAATTTTCAGATAGTTACTTGTTTTGTATATCAGATTTATCGAAAGTCACTTTTATCTTTTCCAGACTGTATTTGATATGGGATTTCAAAGTAAATTAGATGTTGCCAATGTGACTTTTCTTCTCTACAATATCGAGCAGTCCAATTTTTAATTTGAGATCTTTTCTTTGAACTTCCATTACCAACTTTATTTTTTTATAAGGACGCTATATTTGAATTTTGTTAATTTAGATGGAGTCTCAACTTCAATTATGTACCTACTCTTGTTAGCCATGAATTTGTTGTCGGAACAAAGATTAGTAAATAAAAAGGTACGGTGAAACATGAACACACATTGAAAATTGTATTGATGGTATTGATGGTCTCCCCAGAAGTACTTTGAACTTCGATACTTTCTAAACGGAAAATACGCATCGTTGTTTCATTCATCTCTTACCGTTTCCGAGATCATAATACTGGTGGGGGTTGAATTTGAAGCACCCGGTAATGTGTTGATGGATTGGACTCTTCTGTAACATGCCTGGATCCTTTGTCGACTATGATCCAATTTAGTTGAGTATCATTGACGGAAAGATCTAAATAGTCTAAATGATAATCTCCAAACCGACTGATGGACCATAAGTTTTTTACTTCCAGGTTTTTTTTATGGTTTGTTATTGGATCTTAAATGTCTAAATATTTCACTCCGCCAACTCAAGGCCAAACTGTTGTCCTTACATTTCTGTCTGACAAGACAAACAACATGGTTCTTTACGGATGTCGAAGTACTATTTGCTGCATATTGTGAACTCCTTCATGACGCATGCATGGTCAAAAGACTAGTTTCCAACGGTATTAAATTTGGTTCTGCTAGAACCCATTTTTCTGTCAAAATACGTTTGAGTTGGCAGTGATAGCATCGTATTTGACATCTCGATGAAACTCTGTTTCATTCCTCATTGGTAGACCATTGGACTAAATTTCCAGATATACTTAGTTCCTAAACTTGATCAAAGATCTTATTATGTATAAAAAACAACTAATAGTTATTTCAAATCTATCTGCTACATCACGAAATGGTGATGATTCATGTTCTGCGAACCACAACAACATGAGTGTTTGCTCATAAGCAGAAAGTTTCTCAATGCCTCCAGTCGTCTTTTTGAAGAACATGCTGTGTTCGTATTCAGTTGAGATATTTAAGAAACTTTAAAAGACGGTTGAAGATGAGCTTAAAGCAATTGGGTGGCTAGAATTCAACTTTATGCATATCCATATGTAACTGATTGTTTCCTTTTTTTGAGAAGTGTAATGCTTTAAGCTTTTTTTCTCCTTTTTTGGTGGTCAATGCTGTGAACTGTGGCATTTAAATTTAGGGAGTTTTTTTATCGTTTGTGGCAATGTTTTTAGGTGGGTTAAAAAAAAGCGGAAGCTGACTCTCCACCTTTTCGTCCCTATGTCGTTTTCTTCCTATTAAGCCAATTATTTTGTAATGCTGTGACGAATAAAGGCCATCTAATATTATTATTATTACCTTCAATCACTTTGTCAGTCATTGTGAAATGTTCCATGAATTCACCTCCATTGAGGTAATGTAATGTAATAATTTAGTTTTTTCGATTATGAAGCAAGTATATTTGTTTTCATCACTTTAATCGATATCTGAGATGAAATCGGATTCTGATCTTGAACTATAAAAATCTGATATATCTGTGAGCTATACAAATAGGTATACATAATAAAAAACTAATATACACCTTGCTTGAAGATCTTTTCCCCACTGCACATGCTCAGTCGGTTTCAAACCGTAGGGAATGTGATGCTAGGACCTTAATAATATTTTCGCTGGTATTACGAGCAGAGGAGGCATCTTGGCACGAAATACAGAGAAACATTTAAACAATTCCTGTGAGTCTGTATTAGTAATGTTATTCGACTTATGAATTTGTGGAACCATATGTGATTCAACAACAACAACTTTACCTCATGACGTCAAAGTCACACAAGCTTAATTTGTACGTGTTTAGGTAGCTACCAATCATCAGATCAGATTTAGATAAGTATTAACTTTTATCAGAGATTGTACGAATCATTCTGACGCTTAAAACTAATTGTTTGTCATATGTGATGACATACAAACTAACGTTGAAATATTGATTAGTATTTAATCAGTTGTCTATTTTACTAATCTGTTCCAAGCAAAAACACTCCATCCTATTGATTTCTTTATAAAATAAGTGCTTATTATCCTGAAGTATAATATTGAGTCACTGCGGTATGAATCAAAGATTTTATCAAATCGACTTATGATATAAAAATAAGGTACTCAGAATATATATGGCTGCATTCTGACTTGATTCTCTGCATTTGTCAGTAAACATCAAACAATGAGGGCTGTATTTTCCCTTATCCTATTGGCTGTTGCCGTCCAAGCTGTTCGTAAGTATACATTTTCTCCATTCACACGTACCTACAGATTTGTCTGTTATGAATCAATAAGCAAGTTTTCATTACTGATGCCTCACCTCACTATTAACTAACACGCCAATCTTCGCGCAGGCAGACTGAACACTCAGCAAAAAGACAATAAGGGTGCAAGCGCGTGTTTTTTTTTTTTGTATCGTCAATGATGCTTGAATAAGGTTTAGGTGTAGAGACTTCGTAGAATAGATCAAACTATATCCACGTTTAAATATCTTTCTCTCTGCTTGTGATAAGATCAATGTTTAGCAAAATTGTGTTGCAAATAGACAAGATATGATGAAATCTTAGGAGGTTAGTACATAGTAAATCCTGCTTCGCCTGACAAAGTATAAAAATGAATTTTGTTAGATATTTTGTCGTGCGAAATTGACATTTGGAGAAATAACAGAGTAATAGTGTTCCTATCGTAATGTCCATATCTCAAATTTTATCAGCAGATATGTCTATTATACAGATGCGATTTTTGACACTGCGTCGTGGAAAAGTTGTGATTTCTTATCCCCGATTAGTTGTGTCATTTGATATGGTTTCTAGTTTCAAGAGTTACTAACAAAAATTATCTACGATGTTGAATCATTACTAACCTCAAAATCTAGGACATACGAGTATATTCAAAAGCGAAAAATCGATATTTGGTACTGTATACCAGAGGGTATCGACGATTAAATGTTTACATTGAACTTTGACGTTCTACCATTTTTACCCTTTTATACCAATCTGTACCCAGCAGTTGAGAAAGAACGACGTGTAGAGCGAGCTATACTTCTAACTTTGGCTCAGCCGCTAATAAACACAAGTTTGACTAAAATTAACAATGGTACTAAAACTTTCATCTAAAGATACTCTCTTATGTACTACCTTTCAGCAACATGCCCTGTAGTCGATGGACCTAGATCGCAGTATATCCCACATGAGACGAACTGTTCCCTGTTCTACCAGTGTTCAAATGGAACGCCTTATCTGAAAGTATGTCCTGCCGGACTATACTTCAATCCTAAACTAGATGTATGTGATTATCCACGGAATGTTGACTGTCACAACAAAAATGGAACTACATCAACACCGTGGCACGTAACCACCTCTACTCCATGGAACTCAACTACATCTGATTCATGGAATGTAACTACCTCAGCACCTCAGAACGTAACTACCTCTGTTCCCTGGAACGTGACTACCTCTGCACCTCAAAACGTAACTACCTCTGTTCCATGGAACGTAACTACATCTGTTCCATGGAACGTAACTACCTCTACTCCATGGAATGTAACTACATCTGTTCCATGGAATGTGACCACATCTGCTCCATGGAACGTAACTACCTCTGTGCCTCAGAACGTAACTACCTCTGTTCCATGGAACGTAACTACATCTGTTCCATGGAACGTAACTACCTCAACACCTAAGAACGTAACTACCTCTGTTCCCTGGAACGTAACAACATCTGCTCCATGGAGCGTACCTACATCTGTTCCATGGAACGTGACTACATCTGCTCCCTGGAACGTAACTACATCTGCTCCGTGGAACGTAACCACATCTACTCCGTCGAACCTAACTACTTCAGCACCTCGGAACGTAACTACCTCTGCGCCATGGAGCGTAACTACATCAGCACAGTAAGTGTTTCGTTATATGTCTCGCAATCGTTCAATTAGCATGAACTTCATATGTCATTAAAGTTGCATCGCTGAAGTTGAAGTAATTACGTAATGTCATTTCACTTTTAAATTCTACGTCATTGCACCTAGTATACAAACACAGCCATTACTTGGAAACTTGTTGGTTTTAAATGTCAGTTGTACAGCCAACATCAAGTGGCAGCTAAGTAGTGTGAAACAGTGTTCCATGATATAACCTTCAAAATAATTTGTGTAGAAGATTATTTATATTTGCAATTAAAATAAAAGTTATTAGAAGCGATCAGCTTTTTTAAATTACTCTGAGTTGTCGCCGTTCAAAACCGCAGGTTTTCTTCCTTTGTTTGCAACATTGGGGAAACGATATGAAAATACTCAAGCACCATCAACACCAACTAGAAGGCATTCACCGTAAAGCAATATCATAGTCTCAATCTTTGGCATGTCCGAAACTATGTTGACAGCATGAACATTCTACAAAATAACAATTGTTTCCAGCACAAATGCCACAACTCCATCATGGACCACAGCATCAACAACCTCAACAAGTATGTATTTTTCTATTCTACTCAAAAATCATCCACAAATGATTATGGTATGGATAATAACTAAACCCCAAGTTTCAAATCGTAGGAAATTTTCTTCATATCCCATTGATACTTTCCTATGGGAGTTACATATTTGATGTTTTTGGTATTGCTTAATGCGTGAAAACAGGATTCGTTTATTGGATTCCTAATAGCAGTATTCTTATGATTATGTCACTCCAATAGTTGTATTCATAATTTTAGGTTCCACTTCAAATCCTGTGACAACTTCTACAACGCCAAGCTCTACAAGTGGTACTACCTGGACTCCTACTAATGCAACAGAAACTACCACAAGAAGCGCTTCAACCAAGCCTACAAGAAAACCATGCCCTCACCATCATTCCTCAGAGTCTTATTCAAAATCTAGTTCGTCTTCTTCATCATCAGATTCATCTTCATCGTCAGATTCATCTTCATCACGAAGCTCATCTTCTTCGTCATCTGATGAGTCCAAATCCAAGAAAGACAAGCACCACAAGCATCATAAACATGACTCCAAAGAGCACAAGCACCACAATAAGGACAAGTCAAAAGAAAAGGAGCATCATAAGAAACACCACTCTAAGGAACACAAACATCACAGAAAGAGCGTTGAACTTGCAGAGGAGTTTGTATCCATGGACATCCTGAATTTGAAGCTTCAGTCAAAGTGTATAGATATGGAGAACTTCTATTTGACCTCTCACCCATACGATTGTGATAAGTACGTCATATGTGACTATGGAGATGCCGTAGAACAAGAATGTCCTGAAGACTTTGCCTACAGCCCAGACATTAGTATTTGTGTTGCAAAAGGTTTCGAGAAATGTGTTCTGTCTAGACACTTCTAGCCAAAGGGGATGTAGATTTGGTAACGACAATAACTAAAGTTCCCTTCTATTGGTGAGGCGAATTTTCTGAAAGCACGAATTAAATTTTCTTCAAAATACCTTGTTTTACTAAATTCCATCCCCTTGTACGACCTCAATTTTGTTGAATATGTTGCAATTGTTCTCATGTACCAAAATAGAGAGGATAGTAATGCATTTTACGGCTCTGTTGATTCTTTAATGGAATACTAAATATTATGCAATTCTACACAAAACTGACTCATCATAAAAAATACAACCTTTTTCTAGTCGCAAATTTATCTTCTCACACTAAACTACTGTTTATGCGATTGATATATAGCTATCTACCGAACTAAGTCGAAATAGCAAGTATGCGATGTGCTTTGAACCGCGAAGTCACAGCCAATGGTTAGGATATAAGTCGATCAGGCTAATGGTGAAGTATTTGTAGACTACAAACCAAATAAAAGCCCATTTTTTTATCGGTAAGTATTGATATAGAATAGTCAGCGCGGTAGTGAGAGGGCTTGTACTGCAACTTTGGGATATCAGGACAGTTGTGAGATAGTCTTTTTTTCACTCCAGTTATTTTTTGGCGCTCTAGATCTCAATCTTAGGTTTGCCAACAACATTTTATCCCTAACATAACAGAACAAAAGGGCCAGTAGTAGTAGTGGTGGTAGAGAGACGAAGCCTAGCAACCAGCCTACCTTTGGCCTTTTTGCCGACCATGTAGTACCAACACTGTTCTACTCCACAAGTTATCTGCTGTGAACTGGACCTAACTTCTGAGGCGGAGGTTGGAACTCCAGAGCCTCGCGTCATGTTGTACAATTATTAAGTGCATTTTAATTTTTTCGCTTTACTTAATTTATCCCTGTTTTAACAATAATTAAACGAATCTCATCACAACACAGATAGTATTTCTGCCTTGATGTACGAGAGTGTGTTCAGCAAAAAAAAAAGACGCTGGAATATCCTCACCTTGGCAGGCAAGTATACTCAAAAGTATGCACTATATCTACGCAAAGTTAGGATTGGCGCCTTCTAATTCCAATAATTCGTTGGCATCGATGAACCATACGTGACAGTTTTCCATACCTTGAATAGGCATTTTCATTGTTAAAGCTATAGGACCGGTATTAATTAATCTGAGTAGGAGTTCTATCCGTTTTAAGAGCCTAGCGACATTGCAATCCCGTCTGGATACATTCCATGAAAATTTTGCTGCTTTGGAAAGCATGGGTTTTTCGGTTAAAGAGTACATGTTCTGTAAGCATTTAGATGAATCCATTTTAACCACTTTTGAGTCTCAATTGAATGCTACTCGCTCATCCATACCTACTTTTAAACTATCTACATCCTATATCTGTTCATTTACAAAATCGGCAAATAAATCAATGTCGGTAAGACTTTTTAGAAGGTCTTTGGATTCACTTAGTTCAGTGCTGAAAATCATCAAAGCGTGCACAATTCATTGATAAACGTCAGGTTTTCCGTTAGAGAATGTGACTTTCTTCTTTTCTACATGTTCTCTAAGCACTTAGATGAGTCTGTTTTAACCACTTTGGATATTAATTTATTGCCGCTTGCTCATCCATACCTACTTTTGAACAATCTACATCCTCAATCACTTGCCCTTGTTGATTTGCAAGCGGTACGGTCGGGGAACAATGATTCGTAATCATTCTTTTCTTAGGAGACGATATAATTTTGGAATCGTCATGTAGTCCTGTGTCTGAACTGGTTGATGATAGTAAAAGTTGAACCATTTTTCATACATTGTTTCAGATATAGGATTAGCTGGGCTCCTTAAGTCGTTCGTTAACAAGATCGGAAAATAAAACAATGTTAGCAGGAGCTACTATCCTTTTTAGAGGGTCTTCCGATATATTTGGCGCAGTGCACCACCTTAAGTGCCATCAAAGTGCGTACAATTCATTGATAAGCATCGGCTACTCCATTAGAAAGTGGGACTTTCTTCTTTTATACATGTTCTCTAAGCATTTAGATGAGTCTGTTTTAACCACTTTGGATATTAATTGATTGCTACTTACTCATAAATGCCCACTATTAAACAATCTCATCTTCAATCATTTGCCCTTGTTGATTTGTAAACGGTACGGTCGGGGAACAATGATTCGTAATAATTATTTTCTTAGGAGGCAATATGACATTTGAATCCTCATGTAATACAGTATCCGACTGGATGATGGTAGATGGATAGGAGAAGTCGTTCATACTTTGAATAGGCACGTTCATTGTTGTAGGTAGAGGATCAGGCTTGCCGGAGTCCTCATGTCGATCAATAACAAGATCGGAAAATAAGTAAATGTTAGTAGGAGTGACTATCCTTCTTAGAAGGTCTTACGATAAACTTAGTTCAGTGCACCACCTTAAGCGCTGAAAATTTTCAAAGCCCATACAATTTATTCATAGAGGGGTACCATTGACCACGTTTGATAGCAATTGGCCATCTTCAAGCCTTAGATAATGGTTCCATTATTGAATCAAATTCTACCCTAGCTACATTGCGATCCCTTCTGGATAAATTCCACGAAAATGGTAATGCTTTGAAAAGGATGGACTTTTTCGTTAAATAGTGGAACTTTCTTTTATTCTACATGTTCTCTAGGCATTTATATGCATCTATTTTATCCACTAAAGAGTACCTTTTTTTGCAAACTTCCAAACCCAAATTCAAATTTAAACTAAACTCACTGTGTTTAGATCCACTTTAAATCGTAATAATTTTCAAATGTGATCCGTGTGAACACCGGCGTACTTGTGTCACAATTGCGTTGACCCCGTTAGTAAATGACAACAACGCATCATTGTACTCTTGGGACGTATGTTCGCGCCCCGGTCCTTTCGGCTCTTTGTAAGACAAAGCCGTACGCACTTGTTGCATCTTTCGATCCCAATCCCCACAGTCCAAATCGACAAATACCCCCGTGTCTGGAAACCTTTGGTCTTCCCCAAACGGTGCTTCGTGACTCACTTTCATCAGACGCTCAAGCGCCTGAACCCTTTGTTCGCCGATGCTGAAATTTACTGTTCTCGCGTAATTAGTCCATTGTAATAGATGTTTCGCATTAGCCCACATCCCACAAGCTACCATTTCCATGTTTACGGTCCAGGATATGTACTTTGGCATCCTAATTGGCGGATCTTCTGTAGCCTCTGAATTGATTTCTATTCGCGAAGGTGATGGTTGAGGTTTACCTGGTTTCGTTGCTGTTACTTTTGCGCGCTTCTTGGACGCCAGATCATGTGTAGAGATCTCGCATTTCGCACCTAGTCTTGTTGTTATTGGTGACTGTGCAATTTCTTGATCCCCTTCTTCTGATTCCATCCGTTCCATTTTAAAACCGCATGGTTGCTCGTGAGTTGCGAACTAAAACCTACTCCACGAAAGCCATCGCTCCCAAAGCGTTCCTGATGGCAATTAAAGATGGTTCTTCCCTAATCTGGAACATTTCCTGCATTGACTTTCGTCAATATGTACAAAACTCTTAATGCAATCCAAAACCCCTTCCATCTCTTGGTAAGCAACCCTGTAATGGGCGACGCGTTCTACCCAATCACGTAACGAACATTGGTATTCGTACCAATGGGCATAATTTTTGAATCTATGGGCATGTATTTTATTTAGCTTTCTAGGTGGACTGGGGAAAAGTGTACCTTCAGTAAAGGGTAACCCGCAAAACTCTGCAGACGGACCGATGTTTGCTCGAAAGTCCATACGGCAAGCTGCCACGATCACTTCTCGTTTTTCCTAGTTCAATTTTAGATTCAGCTGACTCTTGTTGAAGTCGTCCCCTTTGTAGTTAATGACCGACGAACCTTCTCCCTCTAAAATGTAATTTGAACACTGAAACTGTTGAAATAGATAATGTTTTAACACTGAATTCTCTTACTTCCATATTACTATTTCTTAATCCGCATACCTGTATATGTCTGTCTCCTTCATCCAAACCACCCTATACTTTGCCGGTAAAACTTTAACAGGCACTAACTCTCCTCTCCATAACCCTTTCCAAACTTCACTGTACCTCCCTTTCCAAATGCGTCACATTAGAACAATCTGATTTGCCAGATTTCTATGGTCCAAACTGGATCTGCCACAATCACACTCAGCTTTAGCATCTTCGACGTTTTCCTCAATATCCGTTTTCAAATCTTCAAGCCTTAGAGAATGCTTCAATTATTGAATCAAATTCTAGCCAAGCGACATCCGTCTTGGATACATCTAACCAAAATGTTGCTGATTTGAAACACATGGGCTTTTCCGTTAAAGAATGGAACACTTTTCTTTTTCATCTACATCCTCAAACATTTGTCCTTTTTGATTTGTAAACGGTACGGTCGAGGAACAATGATTGGTAATTATTTTCTCATGAGGCAATGTAATATTGGGATCCTCATGTAGTCCAGTAGTTATTATCCTTTTCAGAATGTCCTCCATGCACTTGGTTCAGTACATCATCTTCTAAACATCGGCTTTTCCGTTAGGGAATGGATCTTTCTTCTTTTCTACGTGTTCTATAAACATTTAGATGAATTTGTTTTAACCACTTTGGATATTAACTGATCGCCATTTGCTCTCATCCCTACCTATTTTTGAACAATCTACATCCTCAAACATTTGCCCTATCTAAGGTGGTTGATGGTAGATTCATAGATGGGGTCAACGTTATTAGATGTTACTATCCTTTTTAGAAGGTCTTCCGATGCATTTAGTTCAGTGCACCACCTTAAGTGCTAAAAATTACCAAAGCGCGTACAACTGTTCACTGACAGAGGTACCATTAACCACGCTTGATAGCATTTTCTCACCTTCAAGCCTTGGATAATGCTTCCATTAAGCCAGTTGAATTAAACACTTCGTCTTCCATTTCTAAAAGACACTGGAAACCTGTTGTCGGTAGCTAGGAGTTTCAATACATCTTGTAACAGCACAAATTGTCGACTAACCGTTCAACATAAATGTTGAATGCTGTCAATGAACGTGCATATAGGTGCATATTCAGGTTGAAATACACAATGTGATTTAGATATATTCTACCGGGATTAGTTATCTGTTATCTTAAGTGTCGGGAAAAATTCGGGGAAAAGAGATTACCGAGTTTCGTCCGCAACGAAAATCAGTAGACTAGAATTTAAAGGTATAACAGTCAAAAAGCAGTTGAACG